CCGAGAAAAACATCCTGTCAGGTTCAGGCCAGCTATTAGTCACTAGGCAACCTTGTATCATGTGTTACTAACTTTGCAAAAATATAAATCAATGTAGGTTTTGTTGTGGGGTTAAGGTGGTCTTGCCTATCAGGCAGACCAGCGACCACCTAGCCCAGCTTTTGTCTTCTTGGCTATCTTTTCTCATTCCTGCCACTGTTTCCCCCCTAGTAGAAGGGATCAGGATCCCTACAGTGAGACCAATGGATCCCTACAGAAAACATCAAACAAACTTGCTTGTTTCCAGCCTTATTCTTTTTATAAAGTGAAATAACAAATATTCATAACCTTCCAAGGACTCTCTGGGAAATCACAATGATGACTGTATGGATGTAAGACATTCTGAAAAATCAGTAATTGTTTTCTAAATTTAGAATCTGATTCTGGGAGACAAAATTTCCTCCTCCTCCTCCTCCTCCTCCTCCTCCTTCTTCTTCTCCTCCTTCTCCTTCTCCTTCTTCTCCTTCCTCTTCCTCCTCCTCCTCCTCCTTCCTCCTTCTTTTCCCTCCTCCTTCATCTCCTTCTTTCCTTTCCCTTTCCCTTTCCCCTTCCCCTTCCCCTTCTCCTTTCCCTTCTCCTTCCCCTTCTCCTTTCCCTTCTCCTTCTTCTCTAGCTCCCTGGCCCTGGACACTATTTCATAGTCTCCTAGGTGTTTAGAAATAACAGTCAAAAAAAGATGGGATGTGTGTGGGTGGGCCATGAAGATGTAGCCTTGGGCAGCATCTGATCCCTTGCTCCTCTCTTTGCTCTGCTGCTTTCTGATGTGCTTCCTGGATCCCACAAACTAAGGACCATGCCTTTCTGCCATGATGCTCTTGTGTGGAGCTTTTTAACCATGTACTGAATACCTTGTGATACATGAAATCTCTTCTTTAAATTGTGGGTATTAGATGGCCCTACAATGGGAAAGCTGATTAATACATTATGGTTCTTGGTGTGGAATATATTATTTTTTTGATGTTTATTTTTATGGATACATGAAGAAGTGCCCTTTCTCTTCCATTTTGAGCTGTTGCTGACCCTCAATTTAATAATTATGTATAAGAATACAAAAGGAAATAATTTTTTTCATGTATTGGATGCAGTCTATCTGATTTTCATGGATATTCTCAAAATTCAGAAACAAACAATTTTTAATGAGTCTCTTTTTTTTTTTTTTTTCAGAACTGGGGATTGAACTCAGGCCCTTGTGCTTGCCAGGCAAGTACTTATTCTACTGAGCTAGCTCCCCAGCCCTGAGTCTCCTTTCATAACAAAATTGTTCTTTGCATAAGTGTAATAAGAATTTGTCCTTATTTTTCCAAAGTATAATTGGACCAAATCGTGCTCAAATGGGTGAATTTGATAATAATGTTATTAACCAGGCAGAAAACTTTCTTAGTAAGAAGGGACATTTTGATCTCTCTGAACACCTCTTCCTACATTAGCCTTAATGTCTCCGTCCCTGTGGGTCCCAGGCTTACTAAAAACCAGGGGAAATTACCAAATTGTGAAGACCTTAAGAAGATAGGAATTTATATTGATTTGTTGGTACTGTAAGTGAAATCTAGTTTTTTAAAAAGACTATTGAAAAATAAATAAATAAATAGACTACTGTAGATAGACCTTTGGATAGAGGAATAAATAAAGGCTTTTAAAAGTTTGAGATTGCCAAGTGTGGTGGTACACAACTGTAATCTCAGTACTCACAAGACTGAAGCAGGTGGGTAACCGCAAGTTTTGAGGCCAACCTGAGTTACACAGTGACTTTAAGGCAAGCCTGAACTGTGTGGTGAGCCCTGTCTCAAACAAAATAAAACAACATTTTGAGATTTATTGTGAAAATTACTGAACAGAAGGTAAATTTTTGGTCTTAGCAGTTCCTCAGTAATGCACAGCTCTTCTAGATTTGCAGAGAACACTTGAGGCTTAGATATAGTTACACTGATCCATGGATATACATAAACAACTCCGTGGTGAAGAATAACTTTGAATGCTATTTATGATTCTAAGGCAGGAGACTATCAGAAAAATTACCTGCAACTTGGGAGAAAGACACAAGAGGCACATCTTTTCCCTTCCATCTTTGGCCTTCAGAAGGCTAAAGGAAAATCAGAACAAGGGCTCTGGACCACACGAAAACTTACTAGAATGGAAACTTCTCAGACCCCACCCCAGAGAGTCCAGCCAAAACCTCAGGGCAGGGTCAACAGCCTGGACTTCAACAAATTCTTCAGATGACTCTGAGGCACCTCTCATGAAACGGAAGAGCCACTAGTCTGGGGGAAAATACCATATTTAGTTCAACTCACTGTTCATTATCAACGAAAGATTTCAGATTTAGGGGCCGGGGAGATGGCTCAGTAGAATAAGTGCTGCCTGGCAAGTGCAAGGGCCTGAATTCAATCCCCAGTTCCGCCAAACAAACAAACAAACAAAAAAAAAAAAAGAAAGAAAGAAAGAAAAAGAAAGATTTCAGATTTAGTCAGGTCTCATGTTACCACTGATTTCTGTAGAGCTATAAATAATTTCTATGCAGTATAAAAGAAAACATAAAAGCTATAAAGGGTTGTTTTTTTTTTTTTGTTTTTTTTTCTGGAACTGGGGGTTGAACCCAGGCTCTTGCACTTGCCAAGGAAGCACTTATTCTACTGAACCATCTCCCCGGGCCCCTTTTGAAAGTTTAAACAGATTTGTATGTCGCTGCAATCTGACACTAACATTTACCTAAAATAGTGGACTGCTTGAATGCTCTTAAAATTCATTTTGACATCAATAGTGGTTTCCTCACTAATGAGCGAGAAAGTCTTTGATAGGTGTTCATTTTGTATTTTCTTGAGAAAAGCTTTTAAGCTTTTGAAAACCATCGTCAATATACATCATTCTATCGCAATGTGGTGATGAGTCCCAGCGCTAGGCAGGGAGTATCTCGAGAGCAGGACCATGTGTATTTGCTTAGCATTTTACCCTTGCATCAAGCAGCATATGATACAGAAAACTTATACAACTATTTGTGCAACTAACATACATTACCTAACAGGCATTTGATTTTTAAAAGTAGAATTTTATGACTGTCTTTTAAATACGAAGTCTCCAACTTGTGAACAAGTTCCATTCTGGATACATGTTCCTAAGTCTGACAAAGTGAGTCTCCTACACCCTTGTCACAAATACACAATGTACAGCATAAAAAAAAAATCACCCCTAGGGGTCAGGGAGATGGCTCAGTAGAATAAATGCCTGCCTGGCAAATGCAAGGGCCTGAGTTCAATCCCCGGTTCCAGAAAAAATCACCGCTACATCACCACTGCTTTTCCTCATTTCCAGACATCCGGGGCCCTGACTGAGCACTGTGTAACTGCACACTAACACACTGTATGGGAAGCACACAGCAGCACTGCTGTGACAGTGTCAGGCAGACGTGTGAGCTACTCCTGTGATTTGTTGGTATCTAAGAATGTTTGCAATGCAAGGCCCGTTCATATCAGTTTCCAGCTCAAGAATCTGTGAGTTGGGGACTTACTGTATTTTAAATTCAACCTCAAGACAAGTTGGATGTTCTTCAGAGAAGGTAGCTGAAGCAATACTCAGAGGGATGTGTTCCAATGGAGCGCTGGATTTTGTTGCTGTATAATATGTGAGCACCAAGCATAGATGCAGGCTATAAATAAGAAAAGGAACCCAGTGGAAGGGTGAATGGTTTTAGGCAAGTCCATCAACAGTGTTGGAAAATGCTGTTTGTCTTGGTGAAACATTAGTACCATTTGCACAAACTCCCTAGGCTGCGCAGAGAAGGAACATTGTTTGCTTTTCTCGTTTTCTTCCCAAACGGTACGTCCCAGGTGGTCTGGGGGGCAATGGTGGGCTGTTAATAGTTATCCCCTTCTCCCTCCCTGTCCTTATACCGGTACATTTATATCCCATCACAAGCAAATTCTGCCTCCTAGATTTAAAATTCACCATTGCAAGAACAGGATCTAAAAGGACTGGCCGTGGAGGAGTGGCTGAGATTCCCCAGCCTAGTTGTTTCCCAGGAACTGTCTGCTTCTTCAGCTTCCCTTCCTTTCTGAATCTTTCTGTTCATTCCTCTTTGTGTAAAATAGGCTGATCGAGACTACATGGCTTACATATCATAACTGATACAATGTCTATTTTCCAGATGAAATTATTTAATTTAATCAAGTTCTCCACACAGTGGTCAAATCAACTTCCGTCTTATGGCTCTACTTTCTAGAATTTTTTTTTTTTTCTTTTTTTGCAGTACTGGGGATCGAACTCAGGACCCTGCACTTGCCAGGCAGGCACATACTCCACTGAGCTATCTCCCTGGCCCAACTTTCTAGTATTTGATCGAAGGAGTTTATAGAACTCTTTCAGTAGAATTAAAGAACATCTCACTTATACTGAAGAGCTGACTCTTCTTTCATGGAGGGCTTTTCCTTGTCAGAACCTTATTTATAATAGAAAAATATTCTAATATTTTTAGAAATGAAAATTAAATGTTTGTGGATTGACATGCTGTGCAGAAAGGTTAAACTAGAAAGCCTAAGAAATTTGTAATAATCTTATATAATTAAGAATAACTAGAATGCACAGTGGCATAAGCGCTTGTGCAAGTGCAAGGTCCCGAATTCTATGCCCAGTATCACAAAACAACAACAACGACAACAACAACAACAACAACAACAAAACTAGAATTCAAGGGCCGGCCAGACAGCTGAGCAGACCATAGCACCTGCTCAGGCACAGCTCAGAGGCCCGGTTCGATCCGGTTGGGCCATGCCGGCCCCGCCTCCAGGGGCGCGCTGAGACCCAGACTGAGACCCGGCGTGGTGGCGCGCATCTGTAATTCCAGCTCTCCGGAGGCTGAAAACAGGAGGATCACTACGAGTCCAATCTATGTAGTGAGACCCTGTAGACCCTGCAGACCCTGTGCTAAATACATCTAAAACAAAAAAAAAAACAAAAACAAAAACTAGGCGTCAAACCAACAGAAAAAGTATTTATTTATAACACCATTTTGTAAACAATCACACTGTGCACTTTTGCATTACACAATGATGGTTTTTTCCTATGATCTCAGAGCAAACCCTATGTAAAGTCAATGAGTTAATATAAGACAAGATGAATAGGGGGACAATTTTCTGAAAGTGTCAAATTACAGCACTTGATACAAAGACTGATAACTATCTGTACCATAAAAATTTACATGCCACAAACATTAATTTATAATTTAAAATATACAGTAAAACATTTATAAAAAAGCATTAATTTTTTATAAGCCAGTAAATTACTTTGAAGAATATTTATTAAAACTTATTAAAATCAGAAAATATTGCAACTGAGGTAAAAATTTAAAAGTAAACAAAACTATCATTTATAAGGACTAGAAAGTGAATAGAGGCCAGACGATGTTCCCTAAGGACCGTGCGTGTCACTCCTTGATATTTTGAAGAAGCTTCAACAAATGTGACTCGATGACCTGTTGAACTAAGCGGACATGTAAGGAAGATCTCAGAACACTGCTTACAAATTAAAAAAAAAAAAAAAAAACAAACTATCCACCCAACTGACCATCACTAACTTCCTAAAATAAAGTTATTTCTAAGTAGAAGACATCCAGCATTGGAGGACAATAATGCAATGGAAAACTTAAGATGCTTAAACTGCGGTTGGTCACTGGTTTAGTTCACATTACTAGACTTTCTGCGCCTAGGTTTTCACACTTTGTAGACTGAAGAATCCAGGGCATAAGGTTGCTGTATAAATAATCTGCTACACAATATTATTCTTGTAAATAGGTGTGCACCAATCTTCCAATAATGGATTATTTGGAACAATGAAAAGCACAGTAAACAAACTCATTCTTTTTTTTTTTTTTTTATTTTAGGGAAGGGTCTACAGGGTGTTCAGGGTCTCACTACTAGATCGGACTCATAGTGTTGTGCCTGTTTACAGCCTCCCAAGAGCTGGGATTACAGGCATGTGCCACCACACCCAGTCTCAATTGCTGTCTCAGCACACTCTGAGGGAGGGATCGAACCCCCGGCCCCTGCGCCTACTTGCAGGCGCTTTAATCTGCTGAGCTATTTGGTCTGCCCTAACAAACTCATTCTTAACTTTGCAGGAATCTGTTTATTCTGCTCACAGTTATAAGCCCATGTCAGGAGTTAGGGGAACATGCAATGTTTTTGATTATAAGTGATAAAAATATTTCGGGCAACTGGCTTAAACTAGACAGCTTGAATGAAATGAAACCTGAAAGTTCTAAAATACTTACCACTCCTATAGCCCAGGGCTACAGCTAAATCCATAGAATTGTACCCAGAGTCTGTTTCAATTGTTGGGTCAGCTCCATTTTCTATATCAACATAGAAAAATCCATGTAAGTCCATGAAAATGTAGATAGGTCTATTCCTGGCTCATATGTAAATAGCTAGACAGATTTGCAGCCAATTTGAAGGGTATTTTCTGGATTTCGAAAAAGCACTCAGGGTACCTAGGGTACATAGATTTGCTTTAGTGAGGTGGAGGAAAGATACTTCAGAGAGATTTCCTCTAGAGTGGCTGAAACTCACAAAGACAAAGCTCATGCAGAATGACACTGTGGACACAGAAAACATGAGAGGGTTCCAGGGTGACCCCTACTGAAAGCAGGCACTGGGTGGTGGCTAGTGCTGGCTGTAGGCGAGGGGTTCACGTCTTACAGTTTTCGGTGCTGCTAATACCGGAGAGGCCAGGTCCAGAAAGTAAAACCCTCGGATGGCATTTGGTATGTACTTTTCATCCCATCTGCTTACCTAAAAGCATCTTTACACACTTCACATGATTCCCATGCACAGCATAAAGCAAAGGTGTCCCTCCATTCTGCAAAAGTCAAATGATTTAGATTTTCCAGGGCGAGCAAGAGTCAAGCAAATGCTACCACGAAACATTTCACTAAAATTGTGGCATATGTTTTACTAAGTCTTGGGCACAGAAAAGTAGTTTAAAAAGATTTTAATATTTTGTAAAGAATACTTAGATAAAATTGAGTTTATGGTTTTTATGAATTTGTTTTCCTGGGTCGTTAAATATTTTTTTTCTCCCAGGTGCTTAATAAAATTTATGGTTTCCCTCAAATCAAATAAATTCTAGTGGGCCAGGGAGATAGCTCAGTGGCCTACGTGCAAGGTGCTGAGTTCAATCCCTGGTACCAAAATAAATAATTAGTTAATTAATTAACTGTAGATTTTGTTACAGTGGCTTCAACTCAGTATACGAGACTCACCCAGTCATATTCATTTACGTCGACGCCACAGTCAAGCAGCATTTTGACAATGTCTGTGTAGCCTTTGCTACAAGCCAGTGACAGTGCACTTTCTCGACCTTTTCCTAACAGCTGGGGATCAGCGCCCTGGGGTGAGAAGCGCAAATAAAAGACTGTCACTTGATTTGAATGAGAAGAGTGTCACCCTTGTTAATATCAGTTACGATTCAACACTAAGGTCAGATAATGTTCTGAGGTCAGTACGGCAACCTTTACTCACACATGCTGCTGTTACGACAACTGTCTCAACGCCTTCCTTCCCCCCTCTGCTCTCATTCCTAACCATCCTTTCACTTGGAGGTCACTCTACCTGACCCTCATTTCATTACCTATACTAGTTATAAGCTCCATAACTTTTTCTTTGAGTTTATGTAATGGACTGAGAGTTATATTTTTGAATAATTACATACAGAAAGATAAAGGTTAAGTAAGCCTTTCTTATAAATACAACAAGACTTAAAAAAATAAAACTCATTGATCATGCCCCCCTGCATTTTGGAATTTAATAAAAACTGGTGGGACAAACACCTTTTTGTAAGACAGGGTCTCGCTATGTGGTCAAGGGTGGTCTTGAACGCATAGCAAGCCTCCTGCCTTGGCTGCCCAGGGATTACAGGTGTCTGCCTCCACTCCTGGTAAACACCTAACTTTTTAAAGAGTAAAAATAAAAGCAATCTTTTGCTTGATCTTTATCTCATATACCAAACCATACTCCATATGAATCAAAGACTGAAGCGCTTCCAAGCAGCCTTCTCCTACAGGGCTGGGAGTATTTTTGTTCCTGTTGCGCTTGGGGTGAGGGAGCTGAATAGTAAATTATTTCTCACTGTTTCATGTATGATTAGCATTGCCTTCCCAACTACAGCTACATTCCATGAGGATATGAAAAGCATGCAAGTATTTTGTTGTATCCTTCATCATTATATCTAGCTGGCTAGAGATATAAAGACTTTTTAAGACTTAGCTGAATTTAAGTGACTGTATATAAAACACAGTTTCTGAGGTATTCTGCTTACATTCTGAAGTAGAAACTCTACCACAGCGATCTGCCCGTGTGCTGCAGCCCACATCAGAGGAGTAAATCCTTCTTCATCCGTGTGATTGATAACATTTTCTATTTAAAAGAAAAGCAATTTTTATGATCTAATTTAATAAGCACATATTAATAGCATAACTTAATAACCACATATGAACATCAGTGTGGAATTACTGGTATTCTAAAAAAGATAATTCCTCAGGGCTGGAGAGATAGCTCTGTGGAATAAGCACTTCCCTGGCAAGCACAAGGGCCTGAGTTCAATCCCCGGTTCTGCCAAAAGAAAAAAAAAAAAAAAAAAAAAAAAAGATGATTCCTCCGTAAAGCTCAATGTGTGCTGGTTTTTGTTTGCTGAAGTCCTATTACATGTTGTTGCAATCTGCTGTGTAAATGGATGAAAACGTGCCTCAATGCACATAGCTGGGTTCATACAGGGTATTATTTAAAGTATCACCATGAGTGCTGGGGGTCAGGGTGGCTCAGTGGTATGCATAGCATGTGGGGAGCCTTGGCTTCAACCCCCAACACCACAAGTAAGCAAAGAAAAGAAGGAATGCAAGGAGGGTAGAAAGGGAAGGAGGGAGGGAAGGAGGGAGGGAAGGAAAGAATGGAAGGAAGGGAGGACTAGAGAAAAGGAAGGAAGGGAGAGGGAGGGAGGGAAGGAAGAGGGGAGAGAGAAAGGGAAGGAAGGAAAGGAAAGGAAGGAAAGCAGAAAGGAAGCAAGGAAGGGAGGAAGGAGGGAGGAAGGGAGGGAAGGAAGGAGGGAAGGAGGGAGGGAAAGAAGCAACTAGACATGACTTATGCTAAATACACGGCAGTCAGCAGAATGCTGGTCTCAGAATCTGGAGAGCGGAGCTGGAACCCTGGCTCTGTTGCTGTCTAGTGCTATGACTTAAGCAGGTCACTTATTTCTCAAATACACAGAGTGTCCTGCTTACCTTTATGCGTGGTTGGGAGGACCACAATAAAAAGGAGATCATATAATAGCCCTTAACATCCTATAAATGTATATTACTACATAAACTTCAAAATCTTACTAATGCCACCTTCTAACATCCCTGCCGATGAACTTCCCTCATTCATATAGTTTTTAAACGTAGTATGATGATAGAATGACCTCAATATGGTACCATAAAATTCTCCCCTGAACCTCATTTCATTACCTATACTAGCTATAAGCTCCATAACTTTTTTTTTTAGTTTATGTAATGGACTGAGAGTTATATTTTTGAATAATTACATACAGAAAGATAATGGTTAAGTAAGCCTTTCTTATAAATACAACAAGACTTAAAAAATAAAACTCATTGATCATGCCCCCCTGCATTTTGGAATTTGATAAACACTGGTGGGACAAACACCTTTTTGTAAGACAGGGTCTCGCTATGTGGTCAAGGGTGGTCTTGAACTCATGGCAAGCCTCCTGCCTCAGCTGCCCAGGTGCCTAGGGATTACAGGTGTCTGCCTCCACTCCTGGTAAACACCTATGTTTTTTTTTTTGGGGGGGGGGGTTGTTGTTGTTGTTGTTTTGCTGTCTCAGAATGCCTTCAGGGCAAGTTTGGTTGGCTTGAATTCTGGGGATCAAACCACAGCATCCTGAGCCAGACTCCTTTGTTTATGCAGGCACTTAAACAACTGAGCTACTGGGCAGGCCCCCACACCTAAGTTTTTAAAGAGTAAAAGTAAAAGCAATCTTTTGCTTGATCTTTACCTCATTATACCAAACCATATTCCATATGAGTCAAAGATTGAAATGTACAAAAAGGAAACCATAGAAACTCTAGAATAAGAACAGATAAATTTGAGTGAGAAACCCCTGCTAAGCAAGATATGAAATTCAGAAGTCCCAAAGAAAAACTTAATTTGCCACCTAAAAATGTTAAGCCCTTGTTTGAAAAATCATAAAGTAAATTAAAACAAAAATGACAAAATTAGTAAAAACTATATGCAACACAAACAACACTAAGCTAATTTCCTTATTTTAGATAACAGCTCATACACATAAATATGGCAGGCAGTTCACATAAAAAGAAAACCCTCAAGATGATAATTTTAACCATATAAAGAAATTACTGTAAGATTTTATTTCTCACCCACAGCTTAGAGAAAATTAAGCTCTGACAATATTCTGTGTCCATGAGGATAGGACGAAACAAACTGATTCTAGCACAAGGACAAGCATGTGGTTATATATACAAAAATAAAAATTCAGGGCTGGGGTGTGGCTCAGCGGTAGAGCTGCCTAGGAAGGGTGAAGCCCTGGGCTCAGCCCCAGAGCCAGACAGACGGACAAATGCAATCACACACTCCATAAGCCAGCAAATCTGCTTGTGCAAATTTATCCAATGGATATATCTTAAAAGAATGCCAATAATACTGTCATTTAATAGCAAAAATCTGGGGCTGGTGAGATGGCGCAGTGGTCTAAAGCACCTACTTAGAACAAGCTAAGCTAAACAAAGCACAGGGACCGCTAAACAAAGCACAGGGACCGCGGTTCAATCCCCAGCACCACATGCCAGCCAGCTAGCCCCGCCCCCTGGTGGGCTGAGCTGGCTACACACACACAAAATA